TTATTTTATATTATATTTATCAATAAAGATTTAATACTATTTTTTTCTTATATTATTTGAAATTTTAAACACTAGACGTAATTAAAATAATATTAATAAATTATAATTAACTTATTTCTTTGAAGTGTTACTTTTTAAACATTAATATATTTTCTTTTCAACTTTTTTTATTCAATTCAATTCAAATTTAAATTAATTATTTATAAAAACAGTATTCATATTATTGTAACGGTTAAAACTGCTACGGGTGTCGCCAACTGGCACACCCTCAGCTGTAGCAGTGCGGTTGCAGTTCACGGGTTGCGGGGCTTAGCTATGAGACCCGTGAATTATGCTCTCCCGTTAAATAGGTAGGCTTATAGCTGCAGACGAGCTACCACTTATAGGCAATGCGGTAAAGGTGTGACCTATACAATGACCAGCTGTAGACCCGAACGATGAGACACGTGTTGCGACGGCTAAGCTATTACACACTACTGTTGCAATCACTATAATCACCCATAAGCTAAACGATTACTATAATCACAAACAGTGTATAATATATTTACAATACTTTATTAATAATATAAATGCGTTAAACAATAAAACTGATAATTAATATAATTAAAGCTATCGGCCAGTACTACGCCAACCCACCCATACAGTCCACTGACTGCTAAACACACTTAGACTGAACCGTCCACTTCGATAGCTAACCCAACTCTAACCAAACTATTGGTTTCAGTCCACCATTACATTTAAGCTCACGTGTGTTGAGGCAGCACTGGTAGCTAAGCTTTTCAACTTAAATAGCATTTTATAAATTATAATAAACTTTAAGCAAAATATATATTAGCGTAGGGTTTGAATCATTTCATTCCCCACCACTTCGATTCACGCCCACGTGAATRGCATTATATAATATAAATAAAATTTAAATACAAAAAAAAATAATTTAACCGAACGCTTGTCCCTTCCCCACTACTTCGCTAATTAGTCCTCTAATTACATCCATAAGCGTTCGGGTCAACCATCCGGGTTGTGCTGCTGTTATGTGGAGCTTCGGTAGCTTTTCCATTGCGCGGTGTCTTCAGCTCCACTTGAAAGCCTGCGCTGGATATGCGATGCGATTGATGTTTTCCTCTATCAAACACTTGGCTTTTAGTCGGCATTACCTGATTAACTAAAGTTGTTATTAGAATCTTAAACTATTTATTAATAATACATTTTGTAATATAAGTCATAATATTTGAAATGATTCAAACCCTACGCTAATATATATTTTGCTTAAAGTTTATTATAATTTATAAAATGCTATTTAAGTTCAAAGTTAAGCTACCAGTGCTGCCTCAACACACGTGAGCTTAAATGTAATGGTGGACTGAAACCAGTAGTTGGGTTAGAGTTGGGTTAGCTATCGAAGTGGACGGTAGAGTTGGTTTAGCTATCGAAGTGGACGGTTCAGTCTAAGTGTGTTYAGCAGTCAGTRGACTGTAYGGGTGGGTTGGCGTAGTACTGGCCGATAGCTTTAATTATATTAATTATCTGTTTAATTGTTTAACGCCTTATATTATTAATAAAGTATTGTAAATATATTATACATTGTGTTTGTGATTATAATAGTCATTAGCTTATGGGTGATTATAGTGATTGCAACAGTAGTGTGTAATAGCTTAGCCGCCGCAACACGTGTCTCATCGTTCGKGTCTACAGCTGGTCATTGTATAGGTCACACCTTTACCGTATTGCCTATAAGTGGTAGCTCGTCTGTAGCTATAAGCCTACCTATTTAACGGGAGAGCATAATTCATGGGTCTCATAGCTAAGCCCCGCAACCCGTGAACTGCAACCGCACTGCTACAGCTGATGGTGTGCCAGTTGGCGACACCCGTAGCAGTATCAACCGTTACATATTAATCTTCTTTTAGTCATTTGTTTCAATACATATTGATTGCTATCTTTTGATATAATAATATAATAACGATTACCAAGAGATTCAAGTAATTCAATTGACTGACGCAACTCATCATTAATTTTCTTTAATTTTGTCATTTTTGGACAATTACTAAAAGTATAAAATACTGTATAAAAAGTTTAAATATTAATTTGATAAATAATAAAATTGTTTAATAAAAGAGTTTTTAGATATTTTATCAGTAATAAGGTATTGAATGTAGATCTAAAAAATTATTGAATACATTGACTTAATTGTTACTAAATTATAAAAACAAAAATATATTGTATAACTGTTTTCTCGACTAATCAACTGATGAATACATGACTGGATTACTAATAAATTATATATATTTAAGTTTACTTTTAGTTAATAAAATATAAATAGTAGTCATTCATAAAATATTTCATAATTTTAAGATTTGTTAATTATTTATTGTTATTTTAAGTGCATTTATTAAGTTTTTTTATTAAATGTTATGATATAAAATTTATATTATAAATCTAATTATCATAATAATCAATAAAAATTTATTATAAGTATATATCAGTGATCAAAATTAAGTGTTATCATGATAACTTTGTGATACATATATAACATAACTAATTTAACAGATATTTAATAGTAATTTTCATAATTTATAACAAACAATGAGTAAGTTAAACAAACACTTACTCATTTAATATGTACTAGGTTATTTGTACAATTTTGTTTTATAAAGTTTAATTTTGATCACTGGTATATATATTATAGTATATGTAAATTTGAAATTGATTTTGTAATTAACGATTTTATAAAGTGATTTATAAATATAATAAAATGCATTACATAATATTATTTACATATTTTATTGTAAGTATAAGATTTAATTAATATATATAAAATCGCATTTAATAATTATTTATTATAAACTAATAAATATCTGTTTATATATAGATTTATGTTTTAATATTTAGTATTCTCCATACAGTATAGCATTCAGTATAGAGGGCTTCTCCACAACTCTAAACTCAATTTATTGATAATTATAATGTAATAGTCGATACATTACATGTATTTAATATCTACAGTATATTAAACAAATAATTAATTTAATTTATTTACAGTAATAATAATAAATTATAAATCATTTTAAACAACAAAACATAATATTAAGAAATATCAAATAAATTCAAAATTGGAAATAATATTAAATATAGTTAATTATAATTAAATTACTTAATTTAGTTTAAACAATATTTAAGTTATAATAGAGAAATACATAGAGAACTATATAAATTTATACATTAGATTAAAGTTATAATTACAAATAACAAATAATTATTTTTGTAATAAAATATTGTAAATCAATAGAAATTTTACTAATAATAAAAACTAATAAATAAAAAAGTGAATACATAAAAAAATTTTATTACATGAAAATAAAATAAAGTCTTAATTAATATTTCAAGATTTCATAAAATTTTATTATAAAATTTTAAATAATGAAAAAAATATTTGATTATATTATATGTTTACAATTCAAATATTAATTATTAATTTATTATTTAAACAAAAAGTATATTTATTATAAAAACCTAAATCATAAATAAATAAATTATAAGATATTGAAACATTATATTATAAGATTCACCTGTAAATTATATTATATTAAATTAGCATGATGCAAGTAAAAAACTTATTTATAAGAAAAACATATAGTTTTAATATTATATATAAGTAATATAAATATAAGTAAAATATTCTGTCAATTGAAATTACATTTATTTAATTAATAAACCTAAAGATTAAATAATATTATTTTAAACATTTTTTTTCATTATATCTCATAACATAATATTAGTATATAATATAAATTTTAATTAAGGATTTATATAAATTATATAATAAAATTGTTAGATAATTAAAATAAATGATTATAATAAAGGTATATGTTTAGAATTCACCTATTTCATTTAAACAAATAGCATATTTAAAAAACCTATAAATAAATAAATATCATTTAAGCAGTTTAGTGATTGGATATATTTTATGATAAATTTAACTATAAATATTATTATATTAAATTTGCAATGATGCAAGTAAAAATCTTAATTACAAATAAAATAATCTATGTCAATGTTATCATATAAGTAATATTAATATAAGTTAAATTATGTGGACTAAAATTACATTTATTAATTAATAAAACTATAGATTAGATAATATTATTTCAAACATTTGTCTCAATTATTTCACAATAACAAAATACTAGTGTAGAAACAGTTTTCTACATAAAATTAATTGTTAATGACTTTCTGTAAATAACTTTATATAATATGTATTTTAAAATTTATTGCATTCCTGTGATTATCTAATAGGTTTTACACTCATATATAAACTGTTTTAAATATATGTATTTTATTGTCTCTCATAATGTAATCAATTGTCACAGTTTTTAAATAAATGATTTTTTAACCTTAAATTTTATTTTTTTATCCCTTCACTAGTATATAAAATATATTTATGAGAAAAAATTATATATCAAATTAAATTACTAATATTAGAAATAAAATAATTGCAATAACATGGATTACGGTGAAGGTATTTATCTATTTTTAACTCAAATAAAATATTTAATATGTGATTATTTTTTAATATAAAGGTTCATCATCGTCAAAACGTATTTGCAGTGCACAGTCTAATGTTAAAAATTTTAAAAATCAATTGATCCAGGCTAATTTTATAAACAAAGGCTCATATGGTGTTGTCTATAAAGTTAAATGTACTGTCGATGATAGATATTATGCCGTCAAAAAAGCTACACTTATAGGTAAATATATTTTCTATTATAAATAAATTACAATATATTTTTTTTTGAAACATTGTATATTTAATAATAGGCTAAATAAAATCATAATTATTAAAAACTAAAACAATTAGTAATAAATGACATTTTTTAAATACAATAGATGGACAAATTGCTGACGAGTTTGATCGAGAAATTAATTATCTAATGAAATGCAAGTCTTGATTTGTGGCCGACTATTATGACCACCACATCGACGGTAACACTATTTATATATTAATGGAGTACTGTTCGGGAACATTGAAAGAGTTAATAAATTTGAAGACAACACTATGTGGTCGACAATTGGGTGAACCGATGAACATATTAGAGTATTATATGACGGCAATGATATTTCAGGCATTACTTAAAGCAGTTCAATACATACATGAGTTGGAACCATGTATTATACACCGGGATCTCAAACCCGATAACATATTGATTGAATTAAATGGTATTGATTTTAGTTATATCAAACTTTGTGATTTTGGTTTGGCAACTGTTCATCAGCGAACTGATGCAAATAGTTATGTTTATAACTATCACAGCGATTGTGTCGGTACAAAGTCATACAGTGCACCGGAACTGTACACTAATAATCATGATTATGATCATCGTATAGATATCTATAGCTTATCTATTATAGGGGCCGAGCTATTTGAGTTTAACGAGTTTCCCAAGTAAGACATGAAGTATCTATTTGTTTATTAATTTATTATATATATATATATATATTTTAGTCCACCGGAGCAACTCAGCTACTATGGAGAAGCCAGAGATAAAGTGATGCAATTATATTTGACTTTATGTCAAATGAATGATCCGATTCCCAGTGAAAGACCCGAGTGTTCACAGGTTTTGCAAGATTACGGTAATTGGAATTTCAGTAAAGATTACGTTAAAGACAGAGCCGTACCGTTTGATCAGTTGGTTAAGAAACTTATACCTAAATTACATCCAAATCAATCAGATCAGGAACAGCTGTTAGAAAGGGCTCATATTGATAGAGATATAAATTTAAGTAAATTAGTTAAAACGTTTAATACTAATAATAAATGGTCAGAATTGGCAAAAATATTTCAAAAATATTCAAATAAATAAATTTATCAATCACAATTTTAAGTAACGATAATCTATATAAAAAAAATAAAATAAATAAAATAATTAATTTAATAATTTAAAAATAAATAGCAAAAATTATTTGAAATAATTGATGTATAACTGTGATTCAGTATATTATTTATTTATATTTAAATAGTTTAAAGTTACATAAATAAACTGTTGATTATTAAATAGATTTACAATAAACTTAAATAAGTGACATTAAACTAAACATACATTGACTGCTTATATAAATATATTCATAATAATGCATTGAATTCATTGGAAATAAATTATAACAATAGAAACCAATATAAACAATTTTAGGCGCATTTGCAGTGATATTGTCGGATGTTTTGCTAAATAGCTGTGTATTTGTTTTAATGATAAATGTGCTGATTTACTAATCCAAGTGCTCATTATATTTAACATTTCAATTATAGATAAACCAAATATTAATAGAAATGAAAAAATATTTTGCCATATAATGAACTGTCCGATCGAAATGAACAGTAAAATGTCATTAAACTACCGGGGGATACAATATAATACAATATAAATATCAAACAACGAAAAAAATTATTGAGATTTCGGACTATTTTAGTGCATTTCATGTGTACTTTAATCTAAAATAATATGTAAAAAAATACCATGATAAAAAACCCATAAAAACAGTGGCAAATATTTTAAATATACAAAAATATATGATAATATCCGATACAATAAATCTAATGATCCACCAAAACGATGTGGTATTAAAATCTGTTAAAAGTGCCAAACAATAGGCATATAATATAATAGAAATAGATGTCAATGAAGTCAAATAAATCAATGGTTTTGTTATTATTGCTATAATGTAAGTCCTATTCATATATTTTTTTAATACTTCTTTATTCAATGACAGTCCAAATGTTTGATATTTTAATTGATTTAAATAGTCTAACGTATAAAACGTGTTATTATACTCCTGATAGTTACCGACACATGCGATACAAAATGCGGCGAAAGTAAATAACTTAAATAGTGTTGCGCCTAATGTTGGGTTTCCTATAATATATGTCGGATCACCCAATAGGTCGCGAATCCATAACTGTATAAAAAATTTAGTTAAAATAATTTAGTTTTCTCTCAAAACAGATTTTTTTTGTTTAAATTTTTACATTTCATAAAAATCGTATAATTATTTCATTCAAAATTATTTATTTTATTTTTTAAAAAATGAAAGTTTATATCTACTGAACAATATTTAATGTATATATGTTTTTATATTAAATTATATTTTACATTTAATTAAAATTAATTATTAAACCAGTTGAGAATGCTAGAAAGCATTTCCACACGAATTCCTAATCATAATTAAAAATTAAATTCAGTATGATAAAATAAAATCAACTATAGTTATGTAGGGTATCAAACGATTTAGTATGACAAAATAAACAACTATAGTCATGTGGGGTATCAAATGATTCAGTATTACAAAATAAACTACTATTTTCCTAAAAAGTAAACTTATAAACGAAAAAAATAAAAAAATAAATATTCAAAAAAATTCCAAAAAAAAATTCAAAAAATTTTTTTTAATTTTTTTAATTAATTTTTGGACACCATTTTCTTCAATTTCCTAAAAAAAAACTTAAATAAGAAAAAAAAACAAAAAAAAAATTCCAAAAAAAATTTTTTAGCGGATAGTGGATTCGAACCTATGTCCTCGTGGGACAGACCGACAGACCGACTTATAGAATGCATATACGTATTCCTTTCAGGAATTCGTGAAAAAGTATTATTACCCGATTAATAATAGCTGTCGTTAATAATCTTAAACTATTTAAAAATAATACAATTTGTGATATGAATATTAATAATAGTCTTTTTTTGTTAATTTGTTTCAAAACATATTCATCAGTTGTTTTAGATATTATGAGATAATATCGATGACAAAGATTTTCAAATATTTCAACGGATGTCCGCAACTTATAATAATTTTTATTAATTTTTTTCATTGAACTAATTGATCCAATTATTCAATTCTGTATTAAAAGTTTTAATATAAAATAGTTGAAAAATAAATTATTTATATACAAAATTAAATTTTTAAAAAGTTATTTGCATTCAATTAATTAAATAAATTTACTGTAAGTTTACTGTAAAATCTAACAATTAAATGACTTTTTTGAATTATTTTAAAATATAAAATTAATGTTTAAAAGTAAAACAATACCCGATTAACCAATAGTGTTGTTAGATGTTGTCAATCATCAAATGCAAGAAAAATAAAGTAATTTTAGTAAATAATTTACTTTAAACAATATGTATACTTTCAACAATTATAATTAAAAGTTTAATTGCATTTTTGAGTTATTGATTATTTTAGTATTTTTAAAAATTTAAATAATAAATAATTAAAATAAAGAAAACTAAAAAACTAAGTTTATTATTTCAATGTATAACCGAAACTAATAATATTATTTTTTCTTTGTTTTCATTAAATATAATAATCTAATTATTAAATTATTTATTAAAAGTTTAATAATATATATATTAAGTATTTATTTATTGAACTAGTTTTGAGATTGTTATTAGCATTGTTATTTGTGATATGAGTACTAAAATTAATCAATTAAATTTAAATTTAGTAAGATAATTTAGAAAATTTTATTAAATATTATTTAATATTTAACGTGAACTTGAATAGTTATAAACTATTTTGATAATATTAGAAGTTTTTATTAAAACAATATATACTTTATTTAATTTAATGTTTTGATTATAAAATTACACGTATTTATTAAATTATTGATTATTTTAGTAAACAGTTTTAGAAATACGTTGAATGAATAATTGAAATTAAGAGAAATTATTTTTAAAATTGTATTCATCTTTTTATTATACTGGTATATATACATACTGTATCATATTGTAGTTTAATTAAATAATTAAATAATTAATGTATGAAAACATAACAATACCTGATTAACCAAAGTTGTTGTTAAAAATATTCAACTATTAGATACAGTATATAATGAGTTAATGATAAATTGCATATAAAATAGTTATGAATTACTTAATACAGTATATGTACTATACTTATAAAACTTTAATAAATCAATATAATTAGTAATTTAAGTGCAAAATTATTGGATATTTTTTAACTTAATTAAAACAGAAAATTATTTGATTTTGTGATGAGTTTATATCTGGTGTCTGATTGAGAGTCGTTGTCGAGTGGGTTGTGGTGTAAGACATGATGTCTGTCAACACTCTGTTTGTCGACAGACTCTATAGTGTCTTATATTTAAAAACTTATATAATGTATGTATGTATGAAAATAGTACTATAAAATAATGTTGAAATTATTATATCATCAAAATATTGACTGATTAAACAAAATTATTTTACTGTTAAATATAGATCAATAAAAGTTTTTTAGATTTTTCAATTATTATTATTGACTATTATATAAAGTTTAGGCTAATTTTTATGTTTTAATTGTAGTCAAATTTTAAATAATAAAATTGAATTTTAGTTATAGTTTTAGTCTATTCACGGACAACATAAGTCTGACGTACCGTAAGTTTGTATTATTCTTATATGTTTTAGTTTAGTGTTTTGTTTGCGAAGTGTTTTGTATCGCTTATTGTGTGAGTGTTTTGTTACCGACGATTGGGTTACCGGTCAGCCAAACATCAGTGTTTTCTCCCCACTGTTAGTGTAACCCCTAATATAAGGGATACACCTCTCTGATGACCAGTGGTGGTCTCAGGAGGTAATCGCTCCCTTATAATGCATATATAAATATATTCATAATAATGAATAAAATTCATTGGAAATAAGTCGGACCAGACAATCATTCGACAAATAGATTCTAATCTTTTATTTAAATTTTTTTATTTTAATTAGAGATGGGCAAATAGAAAGTTTCTAGAAAATTTCTCATGAATAAATTTCTATAGAAATTTAACTTTATTGTTATATAATGGGATCCCCATACATATAGTCATAATAATACTATATTATGAGACATAATATATTATTACATAAAAACAAGTTACAATAAATAGAGCTGAGGTTTACTAAAATAGGATTTTTCAAAATCAATTTTATAAATAAAAATTTAATTAGTAGATATAAATTTATACAGTTTATACTGTTAAGTAATATTGTTAATAATTTTGCTTTGATTTTGGATATTTTATCTGTAATACGGCATTTAAATAATTATTTAATACATTGACTTAATTGTCACTAAATTACAAAAAAAAAATATTTTATAACTATTTGCTCGACTAAACAACTGATGAATACATATCTGGATTACTAATAAAATATTTATATTTAAGTTAACTTAGAGTTAATAAATTATAAATAGTAGTCATTCATTAAACACTACATAATTTCAAGATTAATTAATTATTTATTGTTATTTTAAGTGTATTTATTAAGTTCAAAGTTTATTTATTAGTAAACGTTATGATATAAATATAATTATTAATTAATAATCAACAAAAATTTATTATGAGTACTATATATAATATAATATGTAAATTTTAGTTTTTTTAAGAAATTGAAATTGATTTTGTAATTAACGATTTATTTAATTTATTTATAAAATTAATAAAACTGCATAATATATTATATTTAATTGTAATTAAAATAATTATTGTCAAGTACATAATGTCTATATTCTTATATATTAAAGATAAAATTGCATTTAATAATAATTTATAATTATAATAAACTAATAAATATTTGTTTAAATATTTATTTTTGTTATAATATTTAGTATTACATTCAGATTAATATATATTAAGTTATTAATTGCAATAATAAAATATTATTATTTATTTTTAGCAATTGAATACTGTATATATCTTCAACTTTTAAATACAGTATATTAAGAAAATTATAAATTAAATAAAGTTATAATTTAGTGAAAACAATAAATGTATTTTTTAATAAATATAAAATTACACAAACTTTATAAATAAATATGTTATAATTATAAAAAGTTTTATTTTTAAAGACATTTTATCTTAGAAATTAATCAATTAATTAAATGAATTATATATTTTTATTTTATTCTTATTATTACATTATAAAAATATAATTTATAGTAAAATAAAGAGAAAAAAACATAAAAATGTCATATTATGTGCAATACAATAGTTAATAGTAGAATAGATAGTGATGTTAGTAAATATACGTCAATAGTAAGAATTTTTGAAAAATAATGATTATTAAAAACAACAGATAAAAATAAAAATATTAAAAATGATTATTAGTTTTGCAAATTTAATGTTATTATAATTATCAATATCACTCAAATTAAAACTTAATATAAAATGATATTTTCATACATTAAAATAAAATCAATAGTTTAAAGTTCAATAAGAGATTTTTTACTCATACAGAGTAGTTATATTGATTAAGAAATTATTTATTTGATGTTTGCATTTGATGAGACATTTAACTTATAGTTAAAAAATAATTTAATACTTTTGAAGGGATAAAAAATTAATATAAAAATTAAAGTTAAAAAACATTTATTTAAAAACTATGGGACAAGTGATCACATTATTACAGACAACACAATACATAATATTTAAAACAAAGTTACAGTTTATTTATGAGTGTAAAAACTATTAGATATTTCTAGAAATGTAATTAATCTAAAAATACATATTATATTAAATCATTTACAGTATAACATTAACAATTAATATTAGATATCTATAAACAATATAAATATATTTTTAAATTCATATTAAAAATATTGAATTTTGATAAACATTTAAATAATTAATTTTATGTAGAAATATGTTTCTACACTTTAATAAAAAAAATTATTAATTGTTAAAAATTTTATACAAAATAATCATAAAAATCTTATTAAACGAATCATATATAGACCGCATATATAAAGATATCGATAGAGATTTATACTATTCATTGGAAATAAATTATAACAATAGATACCAATTGTCGGACCCGACAGTCGCTCCATAAATATAATCAATTTTAGGCGCATTTGCAATGATATTGTCGGATGTTTTGCTAAATAGCTGTGCATTAGTTTTAATGGTAAATGTGCTGATTTACTGACCCAAGTGCTCATTATATTAAACATTTCAATAATAGATATGACAAAAAATACTAGAAATATACAAATTATTTTTCCGAATAATTTACTTTCAATATGAAATGTGCCGTAAAATGTTATTAATATACCGGGTGTTACAATATAATAGATTATAAATGTTATGCATCGAAGAAAATGATTAATATTATGGACTATTTTTGTGCATTTCATGTGTATATTAATTAAATATATTAAACGTTTTGGATAAACTATTTGCCATTTGTTTGAATTATTAATATAATATTTGATTTCATTATTTAATTCTTGAAATTTTAATTTAATAAAATATGAGAATATAAACCAAATACCATATCCAACAAAAACTGTGGCAAATATTTTAAATAAACTAAGAATTATAATAATTACGGATACAATAAATCTAATGACCCAACAAAATGATGTGGTATTAAAATCTGTTATAACTGCTAAATAATAGGCATATAAATAGCTAAAAATTGTTGTCAATGATGTCAAATAAATCATTGGTGATATTAATTTATTTATATTATTGACTCTTAGCCCAAATTTTCTTGTATTCCTCTTTAATGTCAATCCAAATGTTTGATATTTTAATTGATTTCCATAAACTAACGTATAATAGGTGTGACTATATTCTTGATAGTTAGCGACACATCCAATACAAAAGACGGCAAAATTAAATATACTTAACATCATTGAACTCATTGTTGAATTTCCTAATGTATAGGTTGGGTCACCCAATAGATCACGAATCCATATCTTTAAAAATAATTATAATTTATTTATTTATTAATAAGATGAATGTTATTTTTATCAACATTTTTATTTTTGAAATCATAATAGTAATTATAAATAATATATTTTACAAAATTAAAAAATCTATTTAAAATTGAGTTTTTAATATTTATCAATTGAATTATAATTAAAATCAATTAGTTATTTCCAAAACATATTTATAGTATTACCTCATTAATCAAACTTGTTATTAGAAATCTTAAACTATTTAATAATAATATAATTTGTGATACGAGTACTAATAAAAGTCTATTTTTATTAATTTGTTTCAATATATATTCATCAGTTGTTTTAGATATTATCATAAAATATCGATAACCAAGAGTTTCAAGTATTTCAATGGATGTCCGCATTTCATCATATCTTCTATTAATTGTTTTCATTGAACTAATTGATCCAAATATTGAATTCTGTATTAAAGTTTAAATATAAAACTGACAAATATTTTATTTAAATATTTATTTATGAAAAGTAGATTTTATGTTTTTAGCAATTAAGTATTTAAATAACTATTAATAAATTTAGTTATAGTTAATTATACCTCTATATTATGCTACAATATATGTTTATATGAAGATTATATAAACTTTATTTAATGTTATAATTATTAGTTTGCATGCATTTAATAAAGTTAGTGACTATTTTAATTAGAGTTTAATAAATTATCCCATTGAGGGATGTTCCCTAATAAAATCCCTCAAATTTTCAGGAATATATTATATTCCCACTATCTTGATCGTTAGAAAGAAAAAATGTTATTTATATTATTGCAATAAATATTAGCAAAAATAAAATAATTTGCAAAAAAATCGATTAATATATTTAAAAATAAATATTAATTTAATATATTTTTTTAGATTATTTAGAAAAACCACTCAAAATACAGTCAAAAAACATAAGGAATTTTCGGAAAATAAAACAAGGGATGAAATTTTGTCAAACTATGAATAAATAAAATTTAATATAAATATTTTGTCGATATTGTTAACTATTGTTTTATATATATAACTTAAATAAGAGAAATATAGTAGTATTTAATATATTATTGAATAAGTGTAAATATGTAAATAAAATCTAAAAAATTTATAGATTGTATTTTTTAAAATTTATTTGAAAACATTGAGTTATCTGATAAATATTGATATTTTTAGTAATATTGAAATATTATATATTAATTCAATATCTAAAATCAATTCTATTACTAAGTATTTTTAATTATATTTTTCAATACATATTTATCGGTGTTTTTTATATTATATAAAAATAAAATTTGAATAATCAGTAGCTGTAGCTATTTATAGCTTATAGCTTGATAGTAATAAATTATTTTTTGCCAAATATAAAAATTAAAATTTTATTACAGATTTTATTCAATTTAATTATATATATATTGAAATTTTTTTATAGAAATTCGCCCAAAAATGTGGCCACATTTTTGCCAGTTTCATACAATTTGATTGTATGTAACTCAACATTTGTAGGCAATCTTTTGGAAACCTCTATCCATATATAGACGACAATGTTTTCAGCCGTCGAAACGAGATTATTATCCCAAAAATATGGTACATCTGTATCGATAAAGTTATGATCAATCGGTTGTATAATAGTTTCGTCAATGATTTGCTTGAGAACTGCAATGTCTACCAGAAACCCAGTAATCGGATCTACTGTTCCCTTGACAGTCAACTCTACCTTATAATTGTGTCCATGAATTGCATTACATTTTCCAAATGTTTCACTATTTGTTTGTTGATCCAGTAGTGGACTATTCATACGATGTGCTGTACTAAATGACTCGATACGGGTTAGGTATACCACGGGTTGTATTGGTTTTGTAGTCGACACAGACATAACTTCCTGTTATTTAATGTATTTTATTAGCTATTTATTAGTATTATTTAATTATAAATATTAAGTAAAAATAATATAAGATTACTTCAATTAAATTATAAGTTATAATAGTGTACTTATGCACTTGCATTTATTACACTAATAAAATTTTTAAAAAAATAATAGTATTTTTTAAAAATGTAAATGTAAATATTCTATATTTATATTAAACATAATATGATTTGCTGTCATTAAATGCTATGTAATTTTTATAAATTATTTGTCTAATAATAATAATAATAGTCATTTTTATTAACAACAACAAAATATTTTTAAAATTTATAATTGTAATAAACAAAATAAAAAGTTAATAAATAAATGTGTTTTAAAGTTTAAACTATTATAAACAAAATTAGTGATACTAGGATTTTATTAAAAATCATATAATAAAATTGAACTAGATAAATCTAATTTTTTGTAATTTAAGATTTTAGTTAACAATGTGAGGATATAGTGAATTGGGTTAATGATTAAACTTTCCATAAAATGTTGGCTACAAATGTAATAAATTGATTATTAATAATTTAAATTGTATCAAATAATTGTTATATTAGTTATTTAAAAAAACAAAATAGTTATTAAAAATTGTAAACAAAATTGTAACACTTTAACACATATAAAAAATTAATTATTGATTATTTTCTAATGAAAATTAATATTATTATATTTACATAAATTCACTATTAAATGCAATTTTATTATTTTTCTATTAATTACAAAGATATATAATACATAACAATATAGGCATAATTTTATCAAATAATTCAATGATTAATTTTTTGATACATTACTAAAATAGTCAATAATTATATTAAATGCACGTAAATTTATAATTATAGTTATTTATAAAAATTTTCATAATTTAATAACATCATAAACATACTGTTTTAAATAATTCATATTTTGAAAAAAATTTACTAAAATAATTTATAGAATAATATATATTTATATTTAAAATAATTAAAATACAGAATTTGATAATTGGATTAATTGTTTCAAATGACAAGATTAAAGAAAATTAATGATGAGTTGCATCAGTCAATTGAATTACTTGAATCTATTAGTAATCGGTATTATATTATTATATCAAAGGACTTCAAAAGATGTTTATTGAGACAAATCACTAAAAGAAGATTAATATTAGCATTCATTTCACAAATTATATTATTATTAAATGGTTTCAGACTTTTAGCAACAACTTTGGTTAATCAGGTAATACTATAATTTTAAAAATAATTAATTTAAATTTAATATAATAAATAATTTTTGATAAAATTCAAGATTAAATGTTATATGATAACACATTACACAAATGTGTTAATTTAGATTAATAAAGAGTAAGGATTTTTCTTAACTTTAATATAATAATGTAATACTATAATAATTAAGTTATTTATATATTTGATCAATATCAGAAAAATGAGCTTGTATCAAATACAATATAATAGTAAATCATTTTTATAAAATTTAAATTTTAACATATAGATTATAAAAAGAAATAAAGCAATTTTCAAAAATACAAGATAAAAAATATATTAAATATTATAATAATTTTTATTATATACAATAAATATTGAACTCTTATTTTGATAATAGAAAGTAATTTAATTAATATTAAATTACATAATTTCAATAGAATATGACTATTTGATTAATATAGTTTATTTTATATGATAAAATTATTATAAAATAATTAAATTTATTTTAAATATTGACTACAATCTTTAAAAAAATATTATAATCTTTATAAAACTAATATAACACTTCAATGAATTAGTGATAAAATTATTAATTATTTTTTCTAAAGTTATGGATTCGTGACTTATTTGGTGATCCACTCTATAAAATTGGAAATTCAATTCTGTCTTCAATACCATTCATTGTATTTATTTTTGCTGTATTTTGTATTAATAGTTCCGATTACTATCAGGAATATAAACATATTGTTTATACGTATGTATATATAAATCAATTAAAGTATCAAACATTTGGATTAACATTAAAAAGAGATGTATTGAGAAAGTATTCATTTAGGCTAAACATTGTAATCAAATTAATATCATCACTAATTTATTTAACAACATTTAATACAATGTTAATGATATTATATGTCTATTGTATAGCTTTATTAACAGATTTTGATACCACAACATTTTGGTGGATCATTAAATTTATAGTTTCATTAATAATTTTTGTTTTAAGTTTATTGAAAATATTTGCCACTGTTTTTGTTGGATGTGGGATATGGTTCTGTATTTCGGATTTTTTCAAATTTAAATTTAAAGAATTAAATATTGAAATTAATTATTGTATTAATCATTCAAACAAATGGCATTTAGTTTATCCGAAAGATTTATTTGTATTAATTAATATACATAAAAAATGCACTAAAATGGTCCGTAATGTCAATTATTTACTCAAAAATATAATATTTATAATCTATTATATTGTAACCCCCGGTATATTGATAGTAATTTATGGTACATTTCGCTCAGATTTTTTATTATTTGGTAAATTATTTTGTTTATTTCTAGTATTATTTGCCGTTACTTTTATTCAAATGCTTAATATAATGAGCACTTGGGTCAGTAAATCAGCACATTTACCATTAAAACTAATGCACAGCTATTTAGCAAAACATCCGACAATATCATTGAAAATGCGCCTAAAATTACTTATATTTATGGAGCGATTGTCGGGTAAAACAATTGGTTTCTATTGTTATAATTTATTTCCAATGAATTCACTTCATTATTATGAATATATTTATATATGTAGTCTATGTATGATTAATTTAATGTCACTTATTTAATACTATTATATATTTATTTAATTATTAATATTTAAGTAATTTTATCAAAACGCATTTTTAAAACTATTAATTATTTTATACTTTAAATAAAAATTTCTGTTATATTTATTATGCTTTCGGCTTTAAATTAATGTATTTTTTATATTTTAATAATAATTTTTTTTAAATATTGATTGAATTATTAATATAAGTT